TCAAACAAGTCTTTTTTTAACATTGTTTTCTTACTAAAACCCTTTCAAACTATGTCAAGCACTCCCACTCTACTCCTAAGTCAATAGGTTCTACCCTCTCCAGTATGTGTACTGCCTTGGGATCCTCTTGAGAACCCTCTGAACTCTGGCATACTGAGGCTGGCCCTTCCACACTGCACTTATTCGATTTGGTTACCAAGTCTAGGTGTAAGCACTGCCCGGGACCCTTGAGATCCTTAGGGAACTTTGATGCACCTGGACTATGACAATGTCTATGGAATTTGGCATTTGAGGCTATTGGAGGCTTTGGAAACCTGGGCCTAATTGAAGGCTCCCAATAGAATAACTTCTTATTTTCTTATTTATTTATGTAATTCATTCATATGGTCTGTAATAATTTGTAAACGAATATTGGGGTAATTAGTAAAAAGGGGTGGGTAGTTACATGCTTGTGGGGTAATGCGGGTAGAAACCATGCCTATAGGACTTCACATTTTATTATGTTTGCCTTACCATGTTAGAAACCATGCCTATGGGATTTTACTATGCTTGCCTTTCCATGTTAGAAATCATGTTTATAAGTCTTAAAATCAATTTCACAAGTAGATGTCATGCCTATAGGATATAATTTAACCCGGCTTCTGTTACGATAAGTATTGCATGTTTTATTATTTGACATAATGCTTGCAAAGTTTCTGAAATCAGTGTTTAACAACTAGATTTCTTGCCTATAAGGAATATCACCAGAAATTCCGCCTAAACTAGTTTAAATAAATCAATCTAGTCCGCGTTCAGTCACTTCGAAACTAGTTTAATTAATGGTTTATTTTTCCTGAAACGAATTCTTTCAAAAACTGCTTTAATCTATCATTAGACAGCATGCCTATAGGGATTAAAAGGTCCGTTTTAAAAACTTGCCTTGTTTCACTATATAAATTGAAGTCATCTGTATGCCGCATATAGGCAAGCCCATAGGACGTTTTTCGAATATTGCAACCCTGAAACCGTTTCTGTGACTTAATGTTCTTCGGGTTTAACAAGCTTTTAAAAGAAATCAGTAGGCAATTGACAGGGCTTTACTTCTGAGTTTATAAAAATAAACTACTTGTCTCCTGCATATTCATTTAGACATCCTGCCTCAGGATACGGTTTAACAAAAAGGCCTTTATTTGTGTTTGAGTCGTGCTGTTTATATGCTTTACTTGTGGAGGTAAACTGCGCCTCTTATTTGTTCCTTCCTATTCTTTTTTGCTAAGAGTCCTATGTGTTATTGCTTGTCGCCTTAGTATTTTCACCTTTTAAACCTTAGGGGTCTGTCTAGAACCACCTATAGGTAGAGGTCCTGAATCCCTCCAGGACCATTAAGAAGGAACTGGTAGCAGCATGCAATAGAGATCGCTGACCAACACTCGCTTTGCATGACCACTAAGGGGATAGGAAGGGTAGATATGGATATGATGACCGGTGCGCTAATGACACGCATAGCCCCTTTATAAGGAGTGATTATCGGGCATTGTATTGATGTGATCCTATAGGTTAACCAACCTAGTACCCCCCCCCCCCCCTCCCAAATTCTCTTTACTTGGAAACTTGACTTTCCCTTTTTACGTACACAACTTGCTTAAATTCTTGTCTTATTATTTGAGTTATACAATTCTCAACATGTTCTACTTGCAATTATTTGCTTCAACTGTTTGTTTAGTTAGTGGACTAATTCATAAGTATGAGTTCGGTCGGGACCCACAGTTGTGGACCAAGAGGGGTGCCTAACACCTTCCCCTCGAGGTTATTTCGAGCCCTTACCCTAATCTCTGGTAATGCAAACCAATCTAAGAGTTAATCGCTCTAGATGCCCTAACGCACCATAATCCGTTAGGTGGCGACTCTTCAAATACCCAATTCCCAAAAGGAAATGAGTTATTACCCCCATGAATGTCGAAACCCGGACTTTTCCTCGCGAGGAGGGAAAAAAGGGGGCGCGACAGCAGATGCGGCCCCAGCTAGCCCGACCCAGTTTTGATGATGCGGAAGATCCCTCGCAGAAGCGAGACCGCAGATGCGGTCCCCTAACCACAGGTGCGGAAATCGCAGAAGGCAGTGCCTTCATTTAATACGGGAATGTGTCATTTTTGACACATTTCATTCATTCCTTGGGAGATTTGGGAGCTTCCAAAGGGGGGATTTCAGCCTAGCATTTTGTGGTAAGATATTTCTACTTAATGTGAATTTAATACATAGTTTAGGGGTAGATTACACCATGTAAATTAGTAAAATTTGTGGGTTTAGAGTAAAACTTAGGGTTTTGATAAAAAAAATTAACCACGAAATTCGTTAGGAAATGAAGTAAAAATCATATATTATTGATACTTAGATTATGGGTAACAATTTTCTTCGAAAATTTCCGGAATCCGGGCACGTGGGTCTGGGAATGAATTTTAGGAACCTTGTATTTAGGGTTGGGAAAGTACTTTAATAGTTAGAATATGAACTCTTGAGCATGTATTCACTAGTTCTGACCCCAGTTGATTAGTTTTGGATCGTTCGGCTCCGATTTAAGGGTTTGAGCGCATTCTTGAATTTGGAAGTAACCTTTGGAGCAAGGTGAGTCTCCTTTCTAACCTCGTAAGAGGGAACTAACCCTATAGGTGAATTAAATAAATGTATGTGACTATCTGTGGGGGCTACGTATGTACGTGGTGACGAGAGTCCGTACGTAGCTACTATTATGCCAATTGTCCGGGTAGTTTAGGACCCGTATCATGTTATACTTGCAATGTTTGCGTCCTTGCTTGCTGCTAAGATCATTTACTACATGCTAGAAACTTGTAAATAAATATAGACGGTTATACTCACTTACTTGAGAACTTGTATGAATTATTTGACTATAACTGAGCAGTGTGTGCTTACTTGATAATGAATTGCTATTTGTGGATCGGGCCAATCGCCTTGGTAGAAAATAGATGCATCTATGGTTTGCGCCATTCGACCCTCTGGCAGTGCATAGTTTATTATTATATCGGACAGGGCCGTACGACCTCGGTACAATGTGCACATGTTATTCATGTGGAATTTTTCCGTGTTTTACTCCGCTTAAATATTTTGAAATGTAACTTATTACATGACATGACTGAAATTGATATATTGTTGAGAAATAACATCTTATTTCTCCTTGTTCTGGGACTGTAATTATATCATGCTATCCATGCTTAGTGTAACCCTTAAATATTATTGTTATTGACCTTAGTAGGTATCAAGTCGACACCTCGTCACTACTTCTTCGAGGTTAGACTGGGTACATATTGTTTATGTACTCATACTAAGCTTCTGTACTTAACTGTATAGGATCTGAGGCAGGTGCATCTAGTTACTCGTCTGGCCCGCGTTCCTGATACCTGATCGAGATCCCACGGTGAGTTGCCCCTTCTGAGTCGTTCAGCAGCATACCGGAGTTCTCTTCTTTTGTTGTTGTTATGTACTGTCTATTCTATTTCAGGCAGTAGGATAGTGGTATTTTTTTTTGTACATTCTACTAGTTGGCCTAATACTTGTGACTCTAGTTCCTGGCACGCACATTTGTAGACTATTATTTTGGGATGTATTTCTATTATCATGAACTTGCTATTTATTGATGGTTTAAAAGTATAAGATTAAGAAAATGTTGGGATTATTTTTGGTAAAGTAATAAGAACTCACTAGTTGACTAGGGTTGGCTTGTCTAACAACGGTGTTGGGCGCCTTCACGACCTATAATAGAATTTGGGTCGGGACAAACAGTGGCCACTACGGCTGTAGTGTCCAACGGTGAATTTAAGCAAAAGATAAAACTTTTTATATGCTACAACAGATTTTTGGCGACTAGTCTATACATTAACGAGTTGTTTGATAGGATATATTAGGTATAATAGATTTGGCATTATTAATCCCTTGTTTGATTGTATTTTTGAACCTATATAAGTATAACTAATAGTACTTATATTAATTAATTTTAATACAACAAATAAAAAAAGTCGATGAGAAATAATCACAACATAACAAACTTAGCATAACTAATCTCAACATTATTAATATATCATATTAAATACTACTATTCTTATGCACCCTACCAAAGATACAAGAGATTATCTTTTGAGTGAGCAAGTCTATGCAACACTTCTCCTGAAGAAAAATTGAAGTTCCATACCTATGCCATAAATTCCAACTTTAAGCAGTATAGGTTTTTATCATTAAGTCATAAACTATTGTTTCTGAAAAGTGAAGATTTTAAGTTTTAGTAAAGGGTTGGATGAAAATTTATTTTTTTCAAATTTCAGTGAAATTAAAATTAAAATAATAAAAAGTTAGCTAACGCATGGTGGGTGGCTCGGCTACACCCATTGTGGCCAGGTGGCTCGGTTTTTGCAGTCAGTGTTGTAGCAATGCTAACACACCCATGATGGGTGGTGTACTAAGCCTGAACTTGTCTTCATAATAAACTGATCCCTTTGTTTAATTAATATCAGTGTGGGATCAACTGGTTGTGAGTACCTAATTTTTTACCATACTTAAATTTTTAACCACATTTTAGTATGTGAATATCTTTTAAGTTTAATCTATATATTCTAGTGCCTTTATTTTACTTTTTAGTAGGTTTACTTAAGAAAATTAAAAACCACAAAAAGAGTCTTGCATTTAGACATTAGTTTTATTTTTTCAGTTACAAAAGATAGAAAAGTGTACTATTTTTAAGTTAGAAGCTTTAAGAAGTAAATATTGAGTGTAGTAATTTTATCTTCCTTTTTATTTACTTATTTAGAGGATTAGATTATTTTGCTTATTTATTATAAAGAAAAGAAAATACTACAAAAAGAACCAATTACCATTGGCCACTTGTAAAAGATTCTCCCCAACAAATTCCCATTTTTCTTGGTAGCTTCTCACAAACACTCACTTGTGATGGCCTCACAATTCACTCGTTTTTTGCCACTCACTAACATAGACTATCTGCACTATATATTCTAAACAAAATAGATAGACGGAGGGAGGGGGGATAGACGAGAAACAGAGAGAGAACGAGAGAAAAAGAATAAGGGACTGGGCATCTCCTTCCTCACAAAAAATCAGTTCCAATTTCCTCTCTTAGACCATGTAAATTACCACCAAAAGTCATCTCTTTTCTCTTCCTAAGATCTAGATCCAAGAGATAAAAGCAAAGTTGCTTACCTTCTTCTCCTTCCTAAAAAATACCATGGCTGAAACTTACCTTCCTCCTTCAAAATTCAGCAGTTAAAACCACCTGAAATACCTCAAAAACCAGCTGAAAAATAGTTCCAAAACAGCTACGAATCTACAAAAAAGCAGCTCGAAAAAGTCCCTAAACTCACCCAACAACGTCACTCAAAACCAGCTCCCAAAAGCCATAAAAATCAGCCTCAAATCCCACCCAATATAGTCCCACAAAGCCTTTATTAAAGCATCTCTAGAATAGCTGTAAAACCAGTTGTTTTCCTCCATGAAATCTAGCTGAAAATTCACAAAATCATGCTTAAATCAGTAGTAAATCACCTGTTTCAGCCATGAAAAACTAGTAACATTAGCTCCAAAAATATCATCCCCAAAGCTACCACTAAAACGAACAGCTCAGTACTTCCTCAATCAAAGTCTAGCCGAATTTCGAGGTCTAAGAGCTCGTTCGCGTCGAGTTAGCGAGGTTGCATGCTCCAAGTTCTGTCCGCGGTCTTTCCCGAGCATTAGGAGTTTGTTCTCGTTTAACTAAGGTCCATTTCTAGCCATCTCTCCCCTGTTTTGAAGAGTTGAATGTTTAAGTGATTTTGTTTCAGTTATATAAGTTTATGATGCTTAGCTTCTACCTAATTCGAATTTAGATTCTGTTTGATTAACATTTGTTAATGCCAAAGCACTATATCAATATGTTATTTAGGGACTTAAAACATCACTGCATAGTGAAGGTTAGTCATTTTCTCAATTTTCCTCGATGCTTATGCATTTTGGTACAAAGTTAGCCTAATTGCACGTTCCATCGTGTATTTAGCCAAGTTACTCGATATTGCCATTCCATTCGTTTAATCTGTAACTTTAGTATTTTTTTTAATTCCAAAATGATAGAATGCAACATTATAATTAGTGTCTTAGCTAAGCCTCTTCCGCAAATAATTCCATATTCATAAATCATGACCTCACAAAAACTCAAATTAGTCTCTGAGAAATGCTTATGAATATTAATAGCATGCTTTAGCCGCGCTCTTAATATATTATCGTGATAATGTATACATTCGCGTGACATAATTAAGATTTTCAAAATAAATCAAATTACGCATTTGTGCGATGGCAAGAACTGATCCCAAGAACCTCCAAACTCAATCACACACGCACGGAGCATATCCTTAAGAATCTGAATAGTGCGCTCGGACTGTACGTCCGTCTGAGGGTGAAATGCTGTGCTCAACTCTACCCGAGTACCTAACTCCTGCTGTACGGCTCTCCACAATCGCGATGTGAACTGAGTACCTCTGTCTGAACTGATGGAAACTGGAATACCATGTAGACGGACAATCTCCCGGATATAAATCTCCGCCAACCGCCCCGAAGAATAGGTAGTACATACAGGGATGAAATGCGCGGACTTGGTTAGCCGATCCACAATAACCCAAATAGCATCGAACTTCCTCAAAGTCCGTGGGAGCCCAGATACGAAGTCCATGGTGATCAGCTCCCACTTCCACTCCGGAATCTCTACCTGCTGACAATTAAGGCACCGAGCTACAAACCGAACTATATCTTTCTTCATCCGCCTCCACTAGTAGTGCTGCCTCAAATCCTGATACATCTTCGCGGCACCTGGATGAATGGAATACCGCGAACTATGGGCCTCCTCTAGAATCAACTCCCGAAGCCCATCAACATTGGGTACACAAACTCGACCCTGCATCCTCAATACTCCGTCATCACCAATAGTCACATCTCGAGCATCGCCATGCAACACTTTGTCCTTGAGGACAAGCAAATGAGGTTCATCAAACTGACGCTCCCGGATACGGTCAAACAAGGAATACCGAGAGACCACACAAGCTAGAACCCGACTGGGCTCCGAAAGATCCAATCTCACAAACTGGCTGGCTAAGGCCTGAACATCCATCGCCATAGGCCTCTCTGCTGCTGGTAAATAAGCCAAACTCCCCAAACTCTCTGCCCGGCTGCTCAAAGCATCGGCCACTACATTGGCCTTGCCCGGGTGATACAAGATAGTGATGTCATAATCCTTCAGCAGCTCTAGCCATCTCCTCTGATGCAAATTAAGGTCCTTCTGCTTGAACAAATGCTGCAAACTCCGGTGATCAGTATATATCTCACAAGGCACGCCGTACAAGTAATGACACCAGATCTTCAAGGCATGAATAATGGCAGCTAACTCAAGATCATGGACATGATAATTCTTCTCATGTATCTTCAACCGTCTGGACGTGTAGGCAATCACCCAACCATCCTGCATCAATACCGCTCCAAGGCCAACTCTCGAGGCATCACATAGACAGTAGAAGACCTCGAACCGGTAGGCAATATCAAACCTGGGGCTGTAGTCAAAGCTATCTTGAGCTTCTGTAAGCTCTCCTCGCACTCTTCTGTCCACTAGAACGGAGCACCCTTCTAGGTCTGTCTGGTCATAGGTGCTGCAATAGATAAAAACACCTGAACAAATCGATGGTAATAACCTGCCAAGACAATAAAGTTGCGGATCTCTGTAGCTGAGGATGGTCTGGGCCAACTCTGCACGGCTTCTACTTTCTTCGGATCCACCTGAATACCCTCTCCCGAGACCACATGACCCAAGAACATCACGGAATCCAACCAAAACTTACATTTCGAGAACTTAGCATACAGTTTCTTTTCTCTTAAGGTCTGGAGCACTATCCTCAGGTGCAGCTCATGATCCTCCCGACTCCGGGAGTATACCAGGATGTCATCAATAAAAACAATCACGAATGAATCAAGATATGGCCGGAAAATATTGTGCATCAGATGCTTGAAGGTTGCTAGGGCATTGGTCAGCCCAAATGACATAACAAGGAACTCGTAATGACCATACCGAGTCCTGAAGGCGGTCTTCGGGATGTTTGGCTCCCGAATCTTCAACTGATGATAGCCTGAATGCAAGTCAGTCTTAGAAAACACACAAGCACCCTGCAGCTGATCAAACAGGTCATCAATACGAGGCAAAGGATAACGGTTCTTCACTGTCACCTTGTTCAACTGGCGATAATCAATACACATACGCATAGAACCATCCTTCTTCTTCACAAATAAGACAGGAGCACCCCAAGGTGATACACTAGGCCGAATGAAACCCTTATCAAGTAATTCATGCAACTGCTCCTTCAACTCCTTCAACTCAGGAGGAGCCATACGGTACGGAGGGATAGAAATGGGTTGAGTGCCCGGCAACATATCAATACCAAAATTAATGTCTCTATCGGGCGGCATGCCCGGAAGATCAACTGGAAACACATCAGGGAAATCCCGTACTACTGGGACTGAATCAACAGAAGGAGTCTCCATACTGACATCTCTCACATATGCTAGATAAGCATCACAACCTTTCTCAACCATTCGCTGAGCCTTAAGGAAAGAAATAACTCTGCTAGGAGTGTGACCTAAAGCACCCCTCCACTCAACAAGCAGTATACCTGGCATGGCTAGTGTCACGGTTTTGGCGTGACAATCAAGAATAGAATAATGGGGTGACAACCAGTCCATGCCCAAGATAATATCAAAATCAACCATGCTGAGCAACAATAAATCGGTTCTGGTCTGAAAACCACCAAGAACAACCAAACATGACCGATAAACGTGGTCCACAACAAGAGAATCTCCCACATGAGTAGAAACATAAACTGGGGAACTCAAAGAATCCCGTGATACACCCAAATGCGGAGCAAAATAAGAAGACACATAGGAATAAGTGGAGCCTGGATCCAATAGAACCGATGCATCTCTCTGACAGACCAAGATAGTACCTGTGATGACAGAGTCGGAGGCGATAGCCTCAGTACGGGCAGGAAGAGCATAGTATCTGTCCTAGCCTCCCCCTCGAGGGCGACCTCTACCTCCCCCTAAACCTCCAAACCCTCTACGTTGGCTTGGGGCCGGGTTAGTGGTGGGTACCAAACGCTACGTAGGAGTCTGCAGAACCCCTCCNTCCCTCACCATATGGCGTGTGTCACCACACTCAAAAATAGCTCTGGGAGGATGTGGCGGATATGACTGGCTCGGGCCATGTTTGCTGGACTGACCACTGAAAGCACCCCGCACAGGAGGCACACTAGATACTGGAGGTGCATAATAAGGCTCCTGAGGCCTAGGTGGAGCTGGAATGCCACTGGCGGCTGGAAGAGCTGAACGAACAGGGTGACCCATATGACCCCTACCATGACGAGCTGCAGCTGGGGCGCGGGCACCAGAATAATAGCCCGACTCTCGAGACCTCTTGGCCTCCCTCTCCTCTCTGTCCCTAGCATGCATACCCTCAATCCTCCTAGCAATGCTCACCACCTGCTGATAAGATATATCCATCTCTAACTCACGAGCCATGCTAGATCTGATGCTGGGAATAAGCCCCTCAATGAACCGGAAAACCTTCTCGCATATCGTAGAAACCAAAGCTGGTGCATGTCTAGCCAAGTCAGTGTAACAGACAGCATACTCCGAGACAGTCATGGTACCCTGGCGCAAATGCTCAAACTCCGCGCACCAGGCGTCCTTAAGACTCTGGGGGACATACTCCCTCGTGAACATATCTGAAAACTGGGCCCAAGTCAGGGAAGCTGCCTCATCCGGACTGTCTAACTCATAAGCACGCCACCACTGATAGGCGGTTCCTCGAAGCTGGAAAGTAGTGAAAGAAACCCTGCTCGATCCTGATATGCCCATAATACGAAGGATACGATAGCACTCCTCAAGAAATCCAAGGGCATCCTCTGAGGCTAGTCCGATGAAAGTCGGAGGCTGATACTTCTTGAACCTCTCAAGCCTCTTCTGCTCCTCCTCTGAAGCTACTGCCCTCTCCTCGGGCTGAGCTGGGGCTACCGGCTGTACAGGAATAGCCTCTGGGACCTCATCGATATGCACTCGCTGCTCAGGAGTGCGGGCGGCGGGAGTCTGTTCTCCTCCCCCGACCTGGGATGTAGCTGCAGCAAGGGGAAGCAACCCTGCCTGAGCCAGAGTGGTGTACATAGTCATAAATTGTGCCAAAGTCTCCTGGAGTGTTGGGCTAGTAGTAGCAGATACATCAGGTGTCTGGACTCCGGCTGTACTGCTGGTGGTACCTCGGTGGCAGCTCGCGCGGGTGCTCTGGCCATACCACGAGTGCGTCCCCGGCCTCTACCCTGGCCCCGACCTCTAACGGCTCCAATAGGGGGCGCGGGTTCCTGGTCATCTCGAGTAGCACGTGTCCTCACCATCTGTGAGAGAATAGAAGACAGAAGTTTAGAATTGTGATATCAAAAATCTCGCACGACAAGGAAGTCAAACGAAACAGAATTTTTTCCTAACAGTTACATCGCCTCTCGTAGATAAGTACAGACGTCTCCGTACCGATCAGCGAGACTCTAATAAACCGACTTGTGATTCATGACTCCTATGAACCGAGAGCTCTGATACCAACTTGTCACGACCCCGGTTCACCCTCCATGAATCATCGTGACGACACCTAGTCTCTAAGACTAGGTAAGCCTAAATTTGCGGAAAGAAACCAAAATTTTGCAGAAGTAAAGCAATTTAAAACAGAAATAAAGGAAATAAATAACTTTTAAAGGTGCCGCTCAGCATACACAATATTTAACTCTCAAAACTAACACATAAATCCAAGACCCGCAAAACCATGAATCACAAGCTAAGAAATACTACATAGCTCTAACTCCGGAATATCTAACAAGAACTGAAATACAGAAGATCTAATACTAAACAGCAAGAATAGAAAGAGACTTCTCGGTCTGCGGACGCGGCAGATATACCTCGAAGTCGCTATAGTAGTCGCCTCGCCTCAGGGGTGGTAGGACTGAGTCGAAGTACCTGGATCTGCACATGAAAAACATGCGCAGGAAGGGCATGAGTACACCATAGCGGTACTCAATAAGTGCCAAGCCTAACCTCGGTTGGGTAGTGACGAGGAAGGACAGGGCCCTACTGAGGTTAAATAAGATATAAGGTTTAACAGTGTGAAATAAATAGTATAAATAAGTAACACAGGACATGAAGGACAGCAACAACTATTACAAAGGCAAGTAAAACACAGAAAGAGAGTACAGCACAGCTCCGAGATAACAACCGGTGATCTCCCAGGATACCGTCCTGTAGTCCCCAAACATAAATACCATATCCAGTGGATCTCCCGGGTGCAGGCCCGTAGTCCAACTCATAAATGCGCGGAGATCTACCGGAATACCACATCCGTAGTCCCAAATATAAATACTCAGTACTGGGGAATCTACCGGGTGCAATCCCATAGTTCCAATGTAAAAGTGCAAAGGGATCTCCTGGAATGCAATTCCGTAGTCCCAAAGTAAACATACAGGGGAGCTCCTGGGTTACTGTCCCGTAGTTGTGAGCACGTGATTTTTGCCTCGCTTAAATTACTCCTATAGAATTTATTAAAATTAGGATTTTTCTGTTATTATTTGAATTTTAGGGAATTAATTGCATGATTTTGTGATTATGTGTATTTTTGTGCATTTTTAATTGATATAATTCATGAAAAATACAAAAATAGCATACTTGCATTTAGAACCTCATTTTAATATTTTTCATTAGTTAACTAACATTACAAAAATAAAAGAAAATAACAAAATAGTCCTTTTGCATTGTTTTACTTTTAGTTTTTTAATTTTTCCTCAAATTTTCTTTTTAAACTAGGATTTGTTTAATTTTTGAGAATTAATTAGTTTTAATTTTATAGTTAAATCAGGTTTTGTCTATTTTAATTTTGTACTTAATAAAATCTAAAATTTGAATAAGAAAAGGAAGAAAAGAAGAAAACAAATAAAAAAATTAAAAAGAAAGAATTTTGAAGAATGAGTAGGCTGTTGTGTGTTTGGGCCATTTTTAATTCCAGCCCAAAGCCAAAATCCCCTTGGTCCGTTTCAAATTAGCCCACACCTACAACCCAACCCAGTCCGATCTAGCGGACGCCCCAAAACGGCGTCGTTTCAATGGCAATTGATCCTGGCTGTCGAGGATCTTTGATCCTATGGTCAGGAACTGAGGTTCGTTTGATATAATAATGTCGGCATCCTTACCCCACCCCCCCAATCCATCGTCTCAGAACACTCCCAATATCACCACCGCACCTCCGTCGCCATCCGCCGTCCGCCGCCGGCCGGAAATCGTCTCCACCGCCGGCAAGTCCCCATTGACCACCAAATTATACCAAAATACTCCCCTCCACCTCCTTATCCCGAATCCACAATTGGTTTCTTTCAAATCCCTAACAAAACCCTCGAATCAGTGAAACCCTAGCCGCCGCCGCCCACGACGGCGCCTCCACCCTTTCCCCACCAAATCAACACCCTAAACCCGTCTCACCCGCCTCTACCTAAACCCCAAACTAGTTCTCCCCAAATCTAGCTGCAATTCTCCAAATTTTGGATCTAGGGTTTTGGAAAAATTGGTGGAATTTTCGAATACAACCAAGTGTCGATTTGAGTTCCTACATAATATTATATGTTTTTTCTTACCAAGAACAAACATATAATATTATTTGGGGACTCGATTCGAGTTCAATCGACTAGAAGATTAAATCTCTAAGTTTTTCTTACTAGTTTGATTCCATCCTCATGAGTTTTCGATTTTTCTTTCTTGTTTAATCTTTGTTTTTGTTCATGGTTGATTCTGTTCTTGTAACTGTTTTTGATTTTTTTTTTAGTTTAATTTTGTTTTGATTTTGGTTAATCCTGTTTTAGTGATTTTTTATGTTAGTTTAATTTTTGTTTTGAATCGGTTTTGATATATGTTTTTGTTTCAACTCAGTGTTCGTCGCTATTAGTATAGTTTTTAATTCTTGTTTGTTTTAGTCAATCCTATTTAGTTAATCCTGTTTAGGCAGCGTTTGATTTTAATTTTTTATTATTTCAGTGTTTGATTTAATCAGTAATTCCTTATTGTTGTTGTTAGTTAGCTTTTAATTAGTTTTAGTCTGTTTGGATATAGCTGAATTAGATTTGTTGGTTTAACTATAGTCAAATTCTGACTAGGGTAAAAGAGGGTTGGGGTTTAGTTTGACTTAGGCTATGTAATTTAGGGGTAAGGACAAGGGTAGTATAGGCATTCCTAAATAGAAAACAATGTTGTAGTTGAAACTAGAACCTCCTAGAATCTTCTAGAGGAGGATTTTAATTAGATTCTCAGTAACTTAGGGCAGTAACTTGGGCAATAAGTCAGTAAATAAGGGACTAAATAGTTAAAACTGAAAATAAAAGAAGGACTAAAGATGTAAACTGAAAATTTGAGAGAAGCCTTTAGTTTTGCCTATAAAAGGCATATGCTGCCTTCCTTAAAAAAAAGTTTTTGGCATCTGAAAATTCCCCCCAAAGTTTCTACAAGTTTTATCATCTGAAAAATTTGAATTTCAAAATTCAAAAACCAAATCTGAAATCTTAGAATTAGAAAGCTTACTTTAGATCTTAGTTCTTCAAAAAAGATTCAAAAAAAATAGCAAAAACTCCAAAAATAGTACTTCATTCAAGTTTTCTTATGTTAAATTCGAGTTTCAGCTCTAGATCAAACTCTCAAATTTATAGAAGGTCCAAAAAATAGTTTGAGCATTTCCAGATTTCATTGGTCCAAGTTTAGGGAGTTTTAGGTTGATTTTGAGTGTGTTTTGATCCAATCAGATCTGTTTTTGTTTGCTCGTTGGTGTTTAATCTTCTGCGAGTTATTCCTGGGTTGCTGTGGCATTTTTGGGAATGAAATTGATCCAGTTGCTTTGATTTTTTGACGGCTGCTTACCGCTGCTGATTCCTCTCTTCTCTTACATTTCCTTCTACTTCCAGGTACATGCCTTGAGAATTGTCTGATGTAACTTCTCAAGTTGAAAGTGAAATGAAATTAGTGCCTGATTTCTGTTGTAGATTTTGCTGTTTCAACATCCTATTATACTTTGAGTAGTTCCATGATTTAGTTGATATATTCATTGTAATAGAACCTGGACTGTATTGGACTGTGGTAATTAAACTGCCTAGATTGCTTTTTGTTTTAGTTTGTATTACTGAAACCGTTTAAGACAGTTGTTTAGTATAGTTCAGTATAAATTCAATTTCATGTAGAATTTGATGCCATGTTAATAGACGCTGAATCATAGTTAAATCCATGTCCAAAGAGATTTGTCAATGACTCACGTAGGTTTAAACACATTTCTGGAATAAAGCTTTAATAGCAGCGTTTTTATTATTAAAGGTATACAAATCCAAACACAGGCATGAAATTCAGGTTTTTAAAATCAGCAGATGGATTGAAGCATTCAATAACTTGTCTTGACACATTGTATGATCCAATTTGGATTTAGTTGTTCAGGTGAATCATGAATAACCCAATGGTTGTTATAGCATAGTTATTTTGAATCATCTAGTTGCTATATTTGTCAACTCGTTAAAGCTAAATTGTTTCGAACTCTGAAAATAGTCACATATTCAATGGTTCAGGCGCTAAAAAATAGATATCAAATACATGAACACAAATAGTTATACTGGGCCCAGTCATATTAATAATAGGCCCAGTAGGCTATGAGGCCCTTAACATTGCTCTCCTCCATTTGGGCCTCTACAAAAGGCAAGGCCGGCCAGAGATCCTATTAAAACTCCCAGCTCTTGGGCCAATATTTGAGAACTTGAAATCTTTTTTTAAGGTGTAATTTGATTTANTCGCGTTGGACCCCTCTTTTAAAATACTTATATTTAAAAATACTTAGAATTTGGGACGTGCCATTTAGCAAATTTTCATGGCCTCCCGCAAAGTTAATAACACGTTAGTCGCTTTAGGCGTGTCCTTTAATAAATTTACCTTCCTAAATGCGGGTGTGCATTTCATGCGACCCAAATACAAATCCCAAAACGATGAATAAAATGTGTCGAGGATCCGGGTGCATTTCATGTGACGTGATCCAAAAATATGTTTTAAACGACGTTCAATTTCATAAAAAATTAATTAAAAGCGGTAAATAATTCTAAAATTTCACTATAGGATGACATGTATTAAAATCAGATTTTAGCCAATTATAATGGTTTAAGCGACCGTGCTAGAACCACGGGATTAGGGGATGCCTAACACCTTCCCTCGGGTCAACAGAATTCCTTATTCAGAATTTCTGGTTTGCAGACTCCATTCGGGAAGTCGAAATTTTCCTCGATTTGGGATTCAAGATAAACCGGTGACTTGGGACACCAAAAGCCAAACCTATCCCAAGTGGCGACTCTAGAAACCAAATAAATAATCCCATTTCGAATAATGTCACTTTAAATGGAAAAACTCCCTTATACATTATCCCTTCGGGGTAGATGTGTAAAACGGAGGTGTGACAGCTCTGGCGACTCTGCTGGGGACACGAACCCAGAATTCCGGTTCAGGGTTCAAGAATTCTAGCTTAGTATTACTGTTATATTTGGCTTTATCTTATTTTACTACATATTCTATGCTAAATGTGCTAAATGTTTTATCGCTTTGATATTTGTTGAATTGTATATATAAATTGTTACGAATCCCTTCCTCTTTCTGAGTCATCTACATCATGGAGAAGGGTGCACTTCGTGTAGCTTCTCTTCTGTTTAGAGTCTTTTCCCATTTAGAACGAGGTTTGGATAAGTTGCTAAGCCGGCGGAGCTTCTGTATCCCCGGTACGCTGCCTCCCCTCGGCTCGAGTTGTCCGCTCGGGTAAGCCAAGTCTAGACGAATAAACCTAGGTTTTAACCCTAGAAGAACAAAACCTCATACCGGATCCCTAGTAGGAACGTTTGTTTGCATCATGTGCATTTGACTTAGGGGACTCAACACAGGGGTTGGGTCCGTCTAGGACAGGTGACCTGAAATGAAAAAGACCATCCTGATGCATCTTACGTGCTACTTGTGCATTTATTTGCTCGGCTTTGCATGTTGACCGGCTTGTATACAATAAGAGGAAATTGAGAAAAATAGAAGTGTTAGGACTAAGTGAGGGTAACCACTTGCTTTGAAAAACCAATGCCCAGATAGTACCGAAATGCTGCCGAATTTTTGAATAAAAAAAGAAAAGGAAAATAGAAAAGAACAAGAAAAAGAAAAAGGGATGTTGTAACAAATATTTGGTTTTGACAAAACATTTTGACCGAACTACGCTGGTTTGATTCTCACCGGATGTGAGATACGTAGCCAACCCTCATCGGGTCCAACCTCCCTTTTGCAAAAATAGCCCAAAAATACCAAAATAAGTCGGGTGATGCCATTCTTGTTTTAAAATAAGCCGAATGTCTCCAAAAGGACGGCGGAAGGCTGTTTTTGCAAGAACAACCACCCTGAGTCATTTTAAATGGTTTGCGGGCACAGCCTTAAAATCTTCCTCCCAGAAGTGCTGAAAGGCCGTATCTGCAAAACCGAGTCTTTGTTTGCTTAAATAAATTTTTTGAACAATAGCCACAACTTCCTTTTAGGTCAAAATAAATCATTAAAATACTCCTTAGATGTCTCTCTTTCATAAATAAAAAACATAAAAAATACAAATTTTGAAAAATTGAGTCCGAAAATATTTTTGCTCAAAAATCCAAAACATTTTTCGTAAAAGTCCCTTTTCCGAAATTAAGAGTCAACTTTCAAAATCAAAAAAAAGAAAAAAAATAAAAATATTTCTTTTTACTTCTAAAAATTCCCAAAGTTCCAATAAAAAGAAAAGAAATTTTTAGAAGTCTTTCTTTCAAAAATCAAAAGAAAAATCAAAATCAAAAATCAAAAAATAAATATTTCCCTTTTTCTTCCAAAAAAAAAGAGAGTTAGTTTATTTACCTTATTTTCAAGAACTACGCTTGGTCTGATTCTTGCGGGGTCATGATACGTAGGCAATCTCCATAGGATTCGACCGTAACCCTAAGAGAAAAGGAAAAAGGGAGGAAAGAAAATAAAAGAAAAAACAAGAGAAGAAAAGAAAACAAAAAAAGAAAGAAAATAAGAAAATCGAGAGAAAGAAACCATAGCAAAAAAGCAAAGGCAAGAATGAAAGAAAAGAAAAGAGGAAGAGAAAAGAAAAATGAGAAAGATGAGAGAAAAATCAAAAAAAGCAAGGAAAAGAGGGTCAAAATAAAAAGAAAAGAATTTGGAAAGGAAAAGCCGGGATGACGCATGCAACCGTTGCGAAACATATAGAAACACATTTAACTGTATAGGTGCATCACGCCTCAACGTGCGATTACCTATCTGTTATTTGCCTCAAACTAACCGTTTGCTGCTGTCACTTCTAGTCCAAATTTTATAGAAACGGTGGTTGGTTTTTCATGGTAAACTGGCATCACATCCGTACTTTACCAGATCAAAGGGGAGCATAGAAATGTCTTCGGAAATGACCTTGCCAGCAATTCCCATCCCAGAAGATAGCCCCATCTCAGGGATCCCGGCCTCCGAGTCTGCCACAGCTGAAGAAAATCGGATATTACGTCTCCGAATGATGGAGATGTTGGACGCATGGACTAATGGCAGGGAGCCTCCAAGTAGTATCCCTGGCTTTCCTGAATTGTTCCCGAGAACCGGGGGTACTTCTAACATCCCCATCAGTCACCCGAATACCCCGTCTGCTCACTTCATAGGAACACCTTCTGAGGTACGCCCCCAGGTGTTCACATCAGGAGCAACTCCCAATATTTTTACTGCTCCACCATGCTCCGCCACCACACAACCTTCACTACCTAGGCCCGCTTTTGATCCCTCGGCCTTCACTTTCCAAAATCCCATATTTCAAGCAGATCCTCCTCAATATCCCACATGCCCTTACCCTCAGCCATCGCCATTTGAGCTTACACCAGGGCAAGATAAAACTCCCAAAGCTCCTGAACAAGATGAGATGGCAAAGAGAATGAGGAGCCTTGAGCAGAGCTTAAAGAACATGCAAGGTTTAAGCGAGCAGGAGAGTGTTTCCTGTACTGATCTGTGCATGTTCCCTCACGTGCACCTGCCCATGGGGTGCAAAATGCCGAAGTTCGAGAAGTATGACGGGCATGGCAATGCCATTGCTCACCATAAAAAGTATTGCAACCAGTTGAGCGGGGCTGGCGGAAAAGAGGAGTTGTTAATGGCTTACTTTGGAGAAAGCTTGGTAGGCATCGCCTCAGAATGGTATATGGATCAAGACGTCTCCCGATGGCACATTTGGGATGACCTCGCCAGAGATTTTGTGAGACAGTTTCAATACAACATCGACATCGCGCCGGACAGGAACTCTTTGGCGAATTTGAAGAAGAAGCCCTCAGAAAGTTTCAGGGAATATGCTATTAAGTGGCGTGAGCAAGCGTCGAGGGTGAAACCTCCAATGGATCAAGTGAAAATGGTCACCGTATTTCTTCAGGCCCAGGAAGCGGATTATTTCCAGAACATGATGTCAGCTATGGGCAAACCTTTTGCAGAGGCTATTAAGATCGGTGAGATGGTGGAAAATGGTATGAAAATGGGCAGAATTTTGAGCCAGTCAGCCATTAGAGCAACCTCCCAAGCCATTCAAGGCGGGTCTGGAGGGATGGCCAAGGGTAAACAGAAAGAAGAAACGGTTATGGCAGCATCAGGGGCAAGAAGACACTGGGCCCCTAGACCCATCTTCTCTGAAAGAACCCCTCAACATTATTACCTCACCAGGACATGGCCTATGCTCCTCAACCGTACGCGGTCATGAATGCTCAACCTTTTGCACGACCGCAACAATAAGCCAATAGAAACCAAACTCCATTTCAAAGAAACCAGCCTCCTCACTAAAACCACAATAATCCCCGTCCTCCACAAAATAACTTCCGTCCTCGTGAACCACCCAGGAGGCCAAATTTTACACCAATCGGTGAACCCTACTCCAGTCTATTTCCGAAGCTTGTTCAAATGGGTCTGCTGCAGCCCATACCTCCAAACAGGCAAAACCCAGAATCACCTTCCTATCATCGGGGTGTCTGATGCGCTTATCACTCAGGAGCTGAGGGGCATGATACAGAAAACTGCTGGACTTTGAAAAGAGCCGTGGAAGACTTGATAGAACAAGGAAAGATAGTGCTAAGGGATGAGGATGTCCCAAACGTGACTAATAACCCACTGCCAGCCCACAACAATGG